GGGGGGTCACCCTCAGCCCATTCGAGAGGGGCCCCCCCATCAAGGTGAACGAGTTCGGCCAGAGCTGCATGCTGGGCCATGGCATCTGGAGACCGCTGCGCGGGCTGCAGGAGGTTCGCAAGGCTCGGGCGATAGGGGGGCCGCTGCGGCGCTTCACCTACCCAGAGCTGGCGAGGGCGTTCAAGGCGGCCACCGCGCGGCTCCAGATCGACGTCGCGCCGCGTCAGGCTCGGCAATCAGGCGCCCCCCACGACAGGATGAAGGGGCTTCGGGACATGGCCTCGATCAAGAGGCGCGGCGGCTGGAAGAGCGACAAAAGCCTGCAGAGATACGAGAAGCACCGTCCCCTGAACAAAACGTGGGAGTAGCACTCGAATTCTTTCAAGGCCCACGCAAAGGTGTGCGACGAGCGTCTAGGGGGCATCTTGTTGGAGGGCCAGGCCGTGCCCGTTCCTCCTCCCATCGAGGCAAAGGGCGGGGCTCGCTGGGTTGCGGCCCGGGGCCCCCGCAGTCGCGACTTCGGGAAGGCCCTCAACAAGAGCGGTCTTCAAGTGAGATGCCTAGAAACAGCTGCGCAAAGTTCTCTTGTCGATACGTTGGTGCCAGACATTACTCGTGGGCGTGTTGTTGGGGTGATCGCCGAATCTGGCTGGATAGCTCCTGCCTTGGATCCGTTTTTTCGCCTGCTGCGCACATGTAGTAGAATGGCCATCCCTTTCCTTGGCGTCCATTATGATTGTGACGCAGATGAGAGACGGCGCCTGGCTCGACTGCATGAGCGTGCTGATGTATGTGGCAAGAATGCCCTTGGTGCCTTCGGCAGTAAGCACCGTCTGCCTTTGCTCTTTTTCTGGTCGGGGATCTGTTATCGGGATCTGCTGGGCCTTCGTTTTCAAGGTCTGCGACAACGGACCCACCCTGGAGGCCTCAATTTAAACAGGTTCCCCGTTCCCGTCACTCTTTGTCGCAAGGTGGCGGGCACCCTTCTGGCGCCCATTCGGTCGTTCTACCTTTGTGCGTGTGTGTGTGAACTGGCCCACGCCAGCTTTGGGGCAGATTTAGGGTAGTTGTATGATTTCAGCCGTCGAGCTCGCCGAGTTTGGATTCATTGCGCCGCTTGCTCGGTTCGGTTGTTTCTCGTTTGGCATCATAGGCGTCGCTATGATTTCCAAGGCTTCCACTCTTTCAGCCCCCCTCCATATCCACAATGTCTGTGCCCCAGCTGCGCTGTTTTCTTTCATCACCCTACCACATGCCACCCTTTGCCCGGCCTGGGGGGTAGTTGTATGATTTCAGCCGTCGAGCTCGCCGAGTTTGGATTCCTTGCGCCGCTTGCTCGGCTCGGTTGTTTCTCGTTTGGCATCATAGGCGTCGCTATGATCTTCAAGGCTTCCGCACACAGAGTATTATCCGCTGGAAAAAGCGAATCGTCTCGTCATGGGCGTGCGTCGCACAGAGATGACGTGCGAAGCTTTGTGGGTGCCGAAGTCCCTCCTTCAGCCCCCCCTCCATATCCACAACGTCTGTGCCCCAGCTGCGCTGTTTCCTTTCATCACCCTACCGCGTGCCACCCTTTGCCCGGCCTGGGGGGTAGTTGTATGATTTCAGCCGTCGAGCTCGCCGAGTTTGGATTCCTTGGGCCGCTTGCTCGGCTCGGTTGTTTCTCGTTTGGCATCATAGGCGTCGCTATGATTTCCAAGGCTTCCGCACACAGAGCATTAGCCGCTGGAAAAGCGAATCGTCTCGTCATGGGCGTGCGTCGCACAGAGATGACGTGCGAAGCTTTGTGGGTGCCGGAGTCCCTCTTTCAGCCCCCCCTCCATATCCACAATGTCTGTGCCCCAACTGCGCTGTTTCCTTTCATCACCCTACCGCGTGCCACCCTTTGCCCGGCCTGGCGGGTAGTTGTATGATTTCAGCCGTCGAGCTCGCCGAGTTTGGATTCCTTGCGCCGCTTGCTCGGCTCGGTTGTTTCTCGTTTGGCATCATAGGCGTCGCTATGATTTCCAAGGCTTCCGCACACAGAGCATTAGCCGCTGGAAAAGCGAATCGTCTCGTCATGGGCGTGCGTCGCACAGAGATGACGTGCGAAGCTTTGTGGGTGCCGGAGTCCCTCTTTCAGCCCCCCCTCCATATCCACAATGTCTGTGCCCCAACTGCGCTGTTTCCTTTCATCACCCTACCGCGTGCCACCCTTTGCCCGGCCTGGCGGGTAGTTGTATGATTTCAGCCGTCGAGCTCGCCGAGTTTGGATTCCTTGCGCCGCTTGCTCGGCTCGGTTGTTTCTCGTTTGGCATCATAGGCGTCGCTATGATTTTCAAGGCTTCCGCACACAGAGCATTAGCCGCTGGAAAAGCGAATCGTCTCGTCATGGGCGTGCGTCGCACAGAGATGACGTGCGAAGCTTTGTGGGTGCCGGAGTCCCTCTTTCAGCCCCCCCTCCATATCCACAATGTCTGTGCCCCAACTGCGCTGTTTCCTTTCATCACCCTACCGCGTGCCACCCTTTGCCCGGCCTGGCGGGTAGTTGTATGATTTCAGCCGTCGAGCTCGCCGAGTTTGGATTCCTTGCGCCGCTTGCTCGGCTCGGTTGTTTCTCGTTTGGCATCATAGGCGTCGCTATGATTTCCAAGGCTTCCGCACACAGAGCATTAGCCGCTGGAAAAGCGAATCGTCTCGTCATGCTACATATGTGTTCGGGCTCTCGTAAGCTATGTGGTGCAAGCTATGTTGTGGAAGCTGCGCGGGGCACGCCATGTTTTGTGAGCCACGAGGCGGTCACGGGCGGCGGCGCGGCGAAACCTTGATATGCGGTGCAGCATTGATACGTGATACAGTCGGGGCCCTGAAGAAGGAACCCTTTTCGTTGGGGAGGGGCTCCGTGTTCCTTAAGTGTTTCACAGCTTGCCCAGGTGTTCCTTATGCTTTCGATCGGAAATCGAAGTTTAACCCATGGAAAAAAAGGGGCCTCGTTCCTTATTTAGGGCTCCTTCGGTCAACGCCCCGACGGTGCAAGGTGGGGTCGGCCACGGGCGGCAACGTGGCGAAACCTCGCCAGACACACCTGGCGCACGAGATTGCCACAGTGTGGCCACGGGCGGACGAGGCGGCCAAGGCCCGGTCATCTCCCTGAGCCTGGACATGCCCAGCGCACGGGGCATCCACGAGGCGGCCACGGGCGGCACTGTGGAACTTCCTCGACGCACCCAGCTGTGTCCCCAGGAAGATGTAAGATGTTGCGCTGCGGATTGGTGAGAGCTATGTGGTGTAATCTGCGTGGTGAAAAGGCTACGTGGTGCAAGGGAAAGTGGTGCAAGCTGAGAGGTGCAAGCTGTATGGTGCAAGTCGTGTGGTGCAAGTTCCGTGGTGCAGTCTGCGTGGTGCACGCTGGGCGGCGTAAGCTATGCGGTGCAAGATGTGTGATGCATGCTACGCTGGGCGGCCACGGGGCAGCGGCAACGGGCAGCAATGGGCCCGAACGTGGCGAATCTTCGACGCGCCCACCAAAGCGGCAACGGGCGGCAACGTAGTGAGTCTTCGACACACACACACACACACACACACACACACACACACACGCGCGGCAACGGGCGGCGACGGGCGGCAGCGTGCTGGGATGTGGCGAACCCTCGACGCACCCACCCAATGTTTTCGAGAGGCAGGTAAGACCCCCCTGAAGCGCAAGCGCTCTACTGGGAACAGATGTCTGGGGGGAGGAGGAGAGGGAGGAGAGGGGAGAGGAAGATAAGAGGGGCCTGGAGGAGGGAGGGGTGATGATGCGGAGCCCAGGGGACGTGTGAGGGTTCATTTTCTGAGGAGTTCGCGGGAACTCTCACGACTTCTTCTGAGGTGTCAGGGATGCGGGTGGGAAGGCCTCGACGGAGGGAGGAGGAAGACGACGAGGAGTAGGAGGAGGAATTGGAGGGGGAGCGGGAGGGGGAGGCGGAGGAGGAGGAGGAGGAGCAGGAGGAGGAGGAGGAGGTTGTCGACAGACGTTGTCACCATGAGGGAGAGGGAATGACGATGGAGCGAGGAGGAGGGAAGGACGGAGGAGAGTCTAAGGGGACCCCCCCGAAACGGCCTCGCGCGTTTACCAAGCAGCCCTTTTCTTTCCTGCTCGAATCCTTCTTCAGGTCCGATTGTGCAAGGGCCTCGTTTGTGGGGGTGGTCATCGTGCGGATGGCTCTTCCGCTGTCTTGGAACGGGGAGGAGGAGGAGGAGGAGGAGGAGGAGGAGGAGGAGGAGGAGGAGGACGAGGAGGACGAGAAGGAGGTGGAGGATGGGGGGTGGATAGCGGAGGGGCGGCCCATCGGGCGATAGCGAGTGTGGTCGAGGACACGAGCACGTTGGAGTTAGAGGAGGTACACGGTACAGGGACGGTGGGCGCATGAAGCGGATCCGAGGCTTACACGTAAGGAATGATTTGTTCCAGGACCCACCCCACCACTGGAGGTCCACCCCCAAAGCTGAGACGTGGGGCCACGGAGGGCCTGATGCTGGTCTGCCCTCAGCTCGGCCACGAGCTTATGGGGCCCCACGGGGCCGTCTTGTGCGTGCTGTGCCGAGCGCTATCTCCCTCGTCCTCGGAGTGCCCTGGTTCGATCATTTGCCGGGCGATCGATGCCAATCGCCAGGTGCGTGCGAGCGGGGTCGCGGGCCATACGTTGGTCCAGTGTCAGCCCCCCGTGGAGAGCGATCGTCCGCATTTTGCGGCGGTCGCGTGTGTTTCGCGCGGAACTGGAGGCTCCTGCCAGCTCGAGAGCCTCCTTCAGCCGTGCAGAGTACCGGGGTCAACGGCCAACGAGCCACCAGGGCTTCGAAGACGAGGCTTCTCCCCGTGTTAGTACGACAATCGCTGCGCTGGAGTAGGGTGGCGCACAGACGTGGGCCGCCTTGTGCATCGAGGAGAGCCAGAGGGAGGGAGGAGGAGGGGCAGGGAGGTGGAGGGTCTCGACGGACGCGGCGATCGTGCTGACGCTGCCGCGAAACGCGCCGGAGAGGCTCGTTCGTGAGGCACAAGCTGGTCTTCCTGCACTTCAACGGCGAGGACTGCCCGGCCATGCGGCGCGGGCAGGCCCGCCCCTCTTGCGCCACGTCTCTCCTCTCGGCCCGGGCGGGCCCCGACCTTCTGCCCGGGAGGCTGGGCACGCGTGGCGCGGCCGGCCCGGACGAGGGCCTTGGCATCGCTCGGACGTGTGTGTGTGTGTGTGTGTGTGTGTGTGTGTGTGTGTGTGTGTGTGTTTTCCCTCGGCGAGGGCCATCGACGAGCTTCCTGGGTCGCCGAGCAAACAAAAAACAAAACAGAAAACGACGATACCGATAAATGCACGGGGTGTAGACGTCCGAGCGACGGCAGGGGGCTGGGTACACGTTGCGCGCCGGCGGGAGCTTCAGCCGATGCCGATGTCGGCCAGATTTGGGGGGCCCGCAGGGTCCCCAGGCCCTCTTGTTCCCCGCTCCTGCCTCTGCGAACAGCGCCAGCATCGAGAGTCTAGACCCGCGCGTATGCAGGGTGTTCGAGAGTGGGCCTCGTGTCAGAGGGCCGAAGGAGCTGAATTCTCTTCCTCGGCGGAAAGCCAGAGGAAGTAAGATGAGGGCGCCTCCCCTGGCGGAAGCTGACGCAGGTAAACAAATCGCCCCCAATCTACGTCTGCCAGTGTGTTTTCCAGATTTTGGAAACCCGCCATGTTCGCAGGCCTAGAGGTTAGCACCAGCACCATTATCAGCGGCGTGCCTCCACCGAGGCAAGACGATCCCGATCTCGGTGATGGTGGTAATATTCGGGCTTCCAATGTGGCCGAAACTACCACCAACGGCAAAATCTAGAATCAGCTTCCCCCGGTTGAGGCACAGCTTCCTGGTAGGTGCTCCCTCCCCTCGAAGAGGAGAGAAGGGAGGAGGAGGAGGAGGAGGAGGAGGAGGAGGAGGAGGAGGAGGAGGAGGAGGAGGAGGAGGAGGAGGAGGAGGAGGAGGAGGAGGAGGGCATTCAGAGGAGCTGTTTCCTAACGCGTTCCGGAACCGTCGGCCTCCCGAGGCCTCCGGGAAGTCTGGAGACTCCTAGAGACATTCGGGGACTGAGATTTGAAGAGCGAAAGCGGTAACTAACAAATGCGAAGCGAAACTCAATCGGGGCGCCAATGGCGGCGGAGTGGAGCGGCGGTGCCTCGCGGCCCTCGCGGCGAAAGCCCTCGCGGCCCTCCCGGCCCTCGCGGCCCTCCCGGCGAAAGCGGGGGCGGGCACGTCAGCCGCGAAGCGGTAGCTAACAACTGCGAGACATCGCAAGCGATCGGAGGGGCGACGACGGTCTATTTTTTGTTGCCGATGCCGCAGAGCGTCGAGCGCTTTTGCCTGCCGATCGGGCCGGCCCACTGCGTGGCCGACTGCGGCTCCCTGCAAGTGCTGTGGCCTGGGAGGGTTGCCGGGAGGGTGAGACCCCAAGAAAGACTTGAGCACGGATGGGCAGCAGAGAAGCGAAGACGACGAGGACAGAGGAGAGAGGGCACCCCCAACCCAACCCGTCCCTGTCGCTCAAAACCTTGCGTTGAGCTTCGCCCGAATATGTTCCGTTTGAGGAGAGCTGGGGACGTGCAAATCAATTTCGAAGGGATGACTCAACAATACATTTTTTTTGGCTGCCCCGAGTTGCCCGTTTTGAAACGCGACGCGTGCCGTGGTCAAAACGTCCGTGCTGACACGCTGCGTCTTGGCTCAACGTTTTGGCCCAAGTCTTGGCGACCGTATCGCGCTGGACCTCTACGTATTCAGCCTACGAGTTGAGCTCCGTTTCAACACGCTACGTGTTTCGTGTTGCGTATCGGGGCTCACCCCACTACGCATGCACCCCGCCAGCGCCGCGCGGGCGTGGACGACCGCGGCTCTCCTCCTGGCCACCGCTGCGACCGGGGCCGTGAGCTCCTGGCCCGCGCCCGCCGCACCCGGTGACGGCGGGCTGGACGCCACCGCGCTGCTGCAGGTCCAAGCCGCTCCCGGCGCCAGCGCGCCGCGGCAGCAGGCCCGGGAGACGTGAGACTCGAGTGCGCCGGAGCTCGGCTTTGTGCTGGCGCTTCTTCAGTTGCGGAAGAAGGACGCAGACGTGCATGAATCCACGTTGGTTTCGAGAGGGCGCATTGCGCGAGCGTTCGCATCACGCGGCAGGTCTCGCAGATCGGGGGGCCGCGCTCCTGCATGTGGGCGGGCGCGTGCGTCCTTCGTGGGCTCTCCCTGCTCCCGGACGAGCGCACCCCGGATTCCGAGGGTCCCGTTTTCGTGGGCCGCTTCCCGCGGGAGCTCGCCTCAAACCGCAGGCCGGGCCTCGCTCTCCTCCGGAGGGCCCCGTCGGGCCCCCACCCCGGGGCCCGGGCCAGCGACTCGGACGACGACGATCCCGCTCGCGAAGCGAGGCTGTGGGTCGAATGGCGTCTCCATCGTTGGCCATGCGTTTTTCAACCCTCTGTCTGGCCAGTACGCGTGCGGCTGGTCCTCGTCAGGTAAAAAAAAACCACCCCCGGGCCTGGGCCCGAGTCTCGCGCCTCCCCGAGCAGGGCGCACAGGGCCCGTGGGGCGGTGGCCGCCTCGCGGGCCTCCCCGCTGACGAGGCGCCCGGCGGGGCGCTCGGCGAGGCCGGGCGCCCGGCCAGCTCGGGGAGGCCCTCGGACCTGCGGCCGCTGAGCCTGGCGGTGTCGCCCCCCGAGGTGCACCTGCTGACCTCCCTGGTGCTGCGGGGGAGGCGGCAAGATCACCCCCACGTGCGAGAGATGCTCGCCGCGTTCCAGGCGAACCTCCGGAACCGCTACGTCACCAGCGTTCACGTCCTCCTGGAGACGCCGGGCAGGCCCGGCGGGCTGTGCGCCGCTCTGCCCGCGGCGATTCAGAGTGTGACTGGCATGGGGGTTTCTCCCAGCGAGTTCGGGAAGATCACCTGCAGGGTGTGGTCTCGGCAGCCAACTTATGCTGACTTGTTCAGGTACGCGAACAGCAACATGAGCAGGACAGGGAACATAGTGCTCGCCAATGCGGACGTCGTCTTCGATGAGACCCTGCGGCGGATGAAGCAGCTGCAGCCCGGCAGCCAGGTGATCGTTTTCTGATTCATTGTTTTGCCGATCGGCGCGAGCCCTCGCACCCCCCCTCACCCACACCTTGGAGTAGATCTTGTTTGTTTTTGGCGCCTGTCTCGAGCAGGTGGGGTCTCCCCCATAGGGCGCACTGCTGCAAAAACAGTGGCATCAAGCAGAGGTCCAGATTCAGACCCCCCCCCCTCCCCCCCCCTCTTCCGCCCAATGTCGAAACGCCGAATAGGAAAACGCTCACCAGGGTCACCTCATCTCCGTGCGGCCTCCCCAGTACGCAGGGGACTTCAAGGCAATCTGGCACACGCCCTGCACGACGGTTCTGAACAAGTGCTCGAGGGAGACCCACAGCTGGGACGCCTACGCGTTCTCCCTGCCTCTCTCGCCTCAGCTGTTGGGTGCCGACCTGGCGTTCACAATGAATATTCTGGCTGCAGACCACAGGGCTGCTTTTGCTCTGAGCGACTCTGGCTTAACACTGACGAACCCTTGTATGCACATCAATGCATTTCACTGGCACTGCTTTTCTGAAAAGATGCACGCTAACTTCACGGACGAATACCAGGACGGCAACTCCCGCTACTCGGCGGGCAAACATGGCGTGATCAAAGCGTCATACCCGTGCCAGGATTTCCCTTTCGACGATCTCATTGACCCGGCATGTCGGCAGTGACACCGTTCGGGCGCTCCCCTTCCGACCACGATTTCTTCCCACCCACTCTTCTGCCACCCTCTAGGCGAATTTGCGTGCAACGTACAGTTAAGTCGGACCATTCGAGGAGTGAGGACAGGTCGGAGTGTGCCCCGATTCGCCGCGGGAGGTGAATGGGTGAGCAGAGGAAGAAAAGAGGACGTGGTGGCGAAGAAGAGCATGCACGAATTCGAACTCATGAATTTATTGGCGCGTGTTGGGGCGCCGTGAGGTGGCGTGTTTGATGCTGCCAGCGGTCAGTGGCCAGCAAGGCATCCGATTCTGGACTGAGCGAGATCTTGGACGTCAGAGAAAAAAGATGCACCAAAGAGCCCCCAGGAGCCCACCAAGAGGCTCCCAAAAGGCCCCTAAGGGAAGGGCCCACAACAGCCCCCAAAGGCCCCATGGAGCCCATCAAAGAAGCTTCCACAAGGCTCCCAAGGGGCCACGGCAGACCCCAAAGGCTGCCAACGGCCCAAGAGGCCCCCGAGAGAGCCCAAGAGAGCTCCCAGGGGCCCACCAGGAGGTCTCGTGGAACCCCAAATCTGATAATACACCCGGGGGAAACCCCAATCAGTGGATGATTTGAAAATTTGGCAGGCACCATGCCTGGCGGCAGTTTCGCCGTAGGGCCCAAAAAGGCTCAAATACGGATTGTTTGGAAGTGTTAGAGATATTGTGCCATTCTCGCTTTATCGGGCATGCGTCGGTTCGAAACTGCCGAAGATGCCTCCAAGATAGACGACTTCAGAGGGCCCGTCGACGGCCCAATACGGTCCTGCTTCTCCTCCTTATCCTCCTCCATTGTGTGTTAAACCGCTGTGCTGGGCTGGGGTGGGCCGGGCTGATCAGTTAACGCCAGGAGGGGCTCCATTTTGTTAAGTCGCCGTGTTGGGCTGGGGTGGGCCCGGTTAGAAGGCTAACGCCAGGGGGACCCCATTCTGTTACGTAAGTCGCCGTGCTGGGCTGGGGTGTGCTGGGATGGCCGGCTAAAGCGGGGGGGACCCCATTTTGTTAAGTCGCCGTGGTGGGCTTGGGTGGGCGTTTGTCTACTTCTTCATTATCGATACCGAGATCGATAATGCAGTCGATGGAGTGAGATCGATAGTGAGTTCGATCGTGAGATCGATAAATGCATCGATATGGAGATCGGCAGGGGACCGTAAACCCGGGAACCCCGCAGCCCACCGACATCGGCCCAGAACCAGCAACTGGGATACCGTGAATGGGAACCCGGGAACCCAGCCGGCCACCGAAATTGGCCCGGAATTTTCGCCAAATCTTTCAACATCCGCTAGGACCCTTTTAGTGCGAGCACTACTTGGGGGAATGTTTATGAGCTTGACTGTGTACTCCCTGGTCGCATGTACATATGACATATTTGAAAGTATGCATACACACGTGTACCTATGGATTCTCTACGCGTGCATCTCTGAATGTAGTTCTGTATCCCGAAATCGGCCCGTGGTGTTCCGTGGTTGGATAGTGAGATCGATAAGGGGGGAGTAATAGTGAGATCGACAGTTTGATCGTTAGTGAGTTCGATCGTGGGATGGATAATGTCATTTATTGTCAGATCGAGCGCGAGATCGATCATGAGTACGGTAGTGAGGTCGAAAGTGAGACCGATATTGAAATCGATTGAGTGAAATCGAGAGCGAGATCGATCATGAAACCGATCGTCTACAGGGAGATCGATAGTAAGATCGATAGTATGATCGATAGTGGGATCGATGGTGAGATCGACAGTGATATCGATAGAGAGGTCGATAGTGAGAAGTGAGACCGATAGTGAGACCGATAGTGATGTCGATAGGGAGATCGATAGCGAGACTGATAGTTAGGTCGATTCAGTAAGATCCATTGTGAGATCGATAGTGATATCGATAATGAAATCCATAGTGAGATCGATTGAATGCGATGGATGGTGAGATCGATCATGAGATCCATTGTGAGTTCGATCGTGGCATCGATAAAGAATTCGATAGGGATATCGACCAGTAACCTGGGAACTCGGGAACCCCGCCGCCCACCGAAATCGACCCGAAACCAGCAACCAGGAATTTGGGAACCTTGAGCCCGGAACTCGGGAACCCAGCCGGCCACCGAATCGGCCCCGCGTTTTCACCGAATTTTTTAACATCCGCTGGGGCCCCTTCAGTGCGAGCACTCTTCCTCCCCCCCCCTCCTCCCCCTCCTCCTCCTCCTCCTCCTCCTCCTCCTCCTCCTCCTCCTCTGCCTCCTCCTTCTCCTTCTCCATCCCATTCTCCTCCTGCTGATACTCCTGGTTCTCCTCCTCCTGCTCCTCCTCCTGTTCCTCCTCCTCATCCTCCTCCTCCTCCTTTTCGTCCTCCTTCTCCTCCTCCTCCCTCCCAATATCCTCCTGTTGAGCCTCCTGCTGATATTCCTCTGCCTTTTTCGCCTCTTCGCCGTCTTCTTCCTTCTCCTCCTCCTCCTCCTCCTCCTCCTCCTCCTCCTCCTC